AAGTGGAATTCCTTCACATTTGTGGATGGGGGGGGAAGGGCATTTTGCAGTTCATATTTAGACTTCCTCTAAAAGTCTCTTATTCAACTCAGCTAGTCTGAGTCAAGATAGAACTGAAGTTTCAGGTTACAGTACTTGGTTTGAAACACTAACCTATCCACTTCTCAAAATGCTTGGAAGTATTAGAAATCGAACACCATCATATGGTCTAAAGTACAGATGGGTGAGAAATTAAAAGTGGGGGTGCTTGAACATGTGAGTACTCTTCACTCAGTTTCATAAAGTAGAATCAAGCTAACTGAAGCCTCTCTGAATCCAATTTATTCTGCCCCCAGTTTTCTTTGTCTTTTGCTGCTTCCTATACTTCCTACTTCTTCTAAGAGCTAAAGGAAGCTTTAGTGCAATCAGGTATTATTTTTTTTTTAATAGGAAAGGATTTGGAAGACTTTCCTAGGGTGTAAATAACCTTTTGAACATTTTATCTGACAAAGCTATCAATAAGGCTATCATGCCTAGCTGAAAAAGGACACACTTGGCAATAATTTTCAGCCTAGGAGAAGCCAAGTCAGTTTCTCTCATCTATCATGCAAACATTTTTTGTGGGTAAGCTATGAGCAATGAGGCCACCCACTGTGCTCTTCAACCACTAGAATCAAATCTTTGAGGGGGGAAAAATCCTTAAAAGCATCAGTAATACCTGAGATGCACAGTTGCATTCAGTAGTAATAGTTTTCAAAGTGAACAGCTGGATGTTTGTCCAGCCCTGCTTGGAAAGAAAACAGAATCGGCACATGGATGGAATTTGCTTTAATATCAAATGTTGGGAATACGCAGCAGGATATGGATACTTCATACTAATACTTAGAAGCAGAAGATCCAGTGCTTTTTTGTAGCTTCTGATATTTCTGTAAAAATGATACGATTCACATATCTTTTTTTCATGGAATAAGTATAGTGAGATGCTACTTTATTTGCTAGATTTTTGGTTGACATGTAAACAGTATCTGAGGGGCTGCCACAAGGCAGAGGGGGCAAGGTTGTTCACCAAAGCACCAGAGGCAAAGACGAGAAATAATGCTTGGAAACTGATCAAAGAGAGAAACAACCTGGAATTAAGAAGAAACTTCCTGACAGTGAGGACAATCAACCAGTGGAACAGCTTACCCCCAGAAATCGTGGGTGCTCTGTCACTGGACATTTTTAAGAAGAGACTAGACATTCACCTGTCTGAGATGATATTGGTTCTCCTGCTTGAGTGGGGGGCTGGACTAGAAGACCTCCAAGGTTCCTTCCAGCTCTATTCTATTCTAAATAGAAGTATTTGTCTACAGGACTGAATACTGTAAATTCACAAGTGTGTATGATTCCTATGGATTCACAATTCGCTGAATTACTTTAGATTTTTTTGTATAAATTTTATTAATTTTTATAGGATTGGGAATAAGGTGGGGCCTGGGTTGAGGTTGGGGTTTGGATTAGGGTTAGGATTAGAGTTGGGGTTGGGATTTTTCCAAATAACATTCTCAATATTTAGCAAACAGCATAATGTCTGGGTTCATGTGTTTAACAAACAATAATAGATAATAGTTAATTATCATAAACAATATGTTAATTAATCACTCAATAGTCTTCTTCTTGTTAACATATATTCAAAGTTACATACCACATTCCTTTCTCTCTAACTCATTTTTCTAGCCATTGATAGAAATTATCCCATGTTCTAAAATACACTGAGTCTTCTTTCTCTTTTATCTTTAAAATCAATCTATCCATTTCTGCACACTCTAAAATTTTGTTAATTAGTACTTCTTCAGCTGGTAAATTTTCATTTTTCCAGTGTTGGGCAAATACAATTCTTGCTACCATTAGTATGTGTAGTATTAAATATATGCAATCTTTCTCATAATTTGCTCCTATTATTTCTAACAAAAATAATTCTGGCTTAAAGTCTATTTGTTTTTTAGTCATTTTGTCCAACCATAAATGTATTTTAACCCCAAATCTTTTTGCTTTAGGGCGTGTCCACCAGATATGATAATAAGTACCTGTCTTTGTTTGTATTTCCAACAGTTGTTTGAAGTATTTTTAAACATTTTTGCTAATCTCATTGGTGTCATATGCCATCTGTAAAACATTTTATATAAGTTTTCTTTATATGCCACTGCTTTAGTTAATTTAACATTTCTTTCCCATAACTTTTGCCAGTCTTCTAATTCTATATTATATCCAAAGTTCTTTACCTACGTTATCATTGTTTCTTTTACTTGTTCTTCTATCATCTTTAAGTTTAACAGAAATCTATAGCACTTCTTAATCAACTTTTTATCTGTTTTTAACAGTATCTGATCAAATTCTCTCTGTTCTTTATAAAATCCCATTGTTTTTGCATCTTTTTCATATCTTGTTTGAATTTGCAGATATGGCCACCATGCTAGATTAATATCTTGTTCTTGTAAATCTTGTCTTTCAATTTTCCTTCATTGTCCAAAATATCTTTGAATGACTTTAGTTTTTGATGGGATTATCTCACAGAAATAAACCAGACAAATTTATTCCAACTGTGCTATAAGATTAAATAGGAAAAAAGCTTAATATTACACAGAAAGTTCTTACTTATTCAAATCACAGCAATATAACATAACATTTAACTGGAAAGTAGTTCAGTCATGAAATCTCATGTTTTTGTACTGTATTTTACATCTTTAGTCCACAAGTGTCGAATCTAGCTTTATAAGGGTCTGTTTGTAAGGATAATAAGCTTTGTAGCCACCCTTTTGGTCTTTTGGATGCTTTACAAAAATATATCAGACGAGCTCATCATTTCAACAGATCGCAGAGGAGTTCCCTTGTGACTTACAACCTAGCAAGTGTGCTAGGAATTGTATTTTGTCTTTTAAAAAAAATGTTCTTTGCCCTTTCTCCTTGCAGTCAACCTGGTGGATGAAATAGTGGATGTGTGTATGATTATAGGCATGCTTTCTCCAAAGATCAACATTTGTACACACTTTGGTCACCTTTTATACATGGTGCTATTGACATTAACCAGAAAAGCCACTCTTGACAGCACCATACTTTAGCACCACCTAAAGAGTTGCTCTGCTGCACTTGCAGAGTTTCTTTAAAGCAATATCTGGGGTGGGGGGAAAGAATCACAAGCCTAATTGTTTTCCATCAAGAGGAATTGTCTTTGAAGTAAACTGTCCTGTAAAATAAGAACATTATCTTGAAGGCTGAAAATGACACTGTAATTTTGAAAGGAGAATATAATGAACAATTTTCTTTGCTTTTACAACAATATAGATTCTCCCTGCAGGATATGTACTCGGGTGAACACGTGCACGTTCTTTTTCTGGTCTGTCATTGTCCTTAAACCTAGAGAAGCAAAATGTGGTTGAGGTTAAAAGATGCATTCTCAAACTTGACAAGCTGTTTAGATTCAGCTGCTCTAGAGAATTTAACTACTCCTGCCTTAGATATCTTGTCTATAGATTCTGTAGAACAGGGGTCTCTGAACTTGGCAACTTTAAGACTTGTGGACTTCAACTCCCAGAATTCCCCAACCACTTATCAACTTCAACTCCCAGAATTCCCCAACCACTTATGGACTTCATCTCCCAGAATTCCTCAGCCAGCATGGAATTCTAGGAGTTGAAATCTATAAGTCTTAAATTTGTCAAGTTTGGAGTCTCCTGCTGTAAAAAATCCATCATTTTTCTATGTCCTGTGGTTTTATCTTCTTATCTTGCCCACTGACTAGTTCTCTTTACCACTGACTCAGTGGATTTCAGTCTGAAAGTCCTACAGCACCTTTTCTAATAATGTGGAGAATTTACTGATTCAAGTTGTGAGGGACTGCAAGAATTGTCCCCTTAGTCTGTTCCACAGTTCAAAGAAGGATATTTATTTAAAAGATTTGTATGGCCATCTGTCTTACAGCATAAATACAGGAAGCTCACAACAAAAATGAAATAATAAGCAGTAAAAAAAACCATGAAAGCAAAGACAAAACCCCTGGTGCCATAGCAATTTTCCTAGGATGCCCTCAACACCTTCTACATACAGTACTTCTATGTCAGTCTTCTCCAACACCTCTGGAAGATCTACCTCTTTATTGCCTTCTGGATGACTAAAAAGTTGGGGACCTGTGAAATTGCCAGGGGAAGAGTTAATTTAGGAGAAAGATGAAAGTAGAAAGAGAAAACATATTTATATTATTCTTTCATTGTGTTTACACAACAAACTTAAGTGCATATTTACAACATGGGTACTCCAATTAGTTTAAACATTCACTGTGGGCAGAATTCCTGGTGCTATTTCCTGTTACATTTAATGCTTCTGTGGTTTAACATACTGTGTGAGCCCACTGCATGTTTGCTTTGATTAATTTATGATTTGAGATATTATGAGAATCCAAAATGGCTTAATTCACTTAACCATTTCAATGAGAATTTCAACAATATTAAGCTGAAGGCTGGTTAATTAAATAATGCTAGCTTATGTAATATCAGTGTTACAAAAGTGAGTTCTGAATAAGTTCTCTTCCACTTCTGCCACATCCATTCACAATCAATATATGACCTTTTCTCCAGTAAGTGCCAATATCATTGCTTTGCTCACAAAATAATTAAGAAAAGTCAGCATGGATGCCTAACCCTGAGATATTCTCAGATGCCTGAAATTACATACATATGATGAGTGAATGCATGTGAAATGAAATGAAACTGATAGGTTTTATTGGCCTTTAAAAATAGACACATGAACCATCATCATTGATCATGGGTCTGTAATAAATTATTCTTCCTTATTTAATCAGATAGAATATGTATCTTCTTTTCACAATATTGCTATTAAAATGTATTACTTAACCCACAAAATTCAGGATTATTTCACTATGTTCCCTTGAAGAGAGTAGATATTTAATGACTGTGGGCATTACATTACATATTGCAATTTCTTGTCCATTTGCCAATTGTGACTACCTGAATTTATCTGCTTTTTAGTTAGAAGAACTACGAAATGCACTGGATAAGACCAGGCAAGAACTAGATGCCACTAAAGCTCGCCTTGCCTCAACACAGCAGTCTCTGGGTGAGAAAGAAGCACATCTGGCCAATTTAAGACTAGAACGGAGAAAACAGTTAGAGGAGATCCTGGAAATGAAGTAAGTGCATTTATGGCTCTTGATTTTGATAGTTTTTTTTTGTTTTGTTTTTCATTTGTGTTTGCAACCTTTTCAGCTCTTTATTTCATAGACAGAAGATTTCTTTACCAAAATGAAAGTGAAATAAGCTGAATGACAGTAAGTAATAATATTGAGCTACAGAAGTTGGACCAGAATATTCTGTTATTTGCAGATGGCAATAGCAGGAAACACTTCTTAAAGATGAGATTGATATGCATGTATAAGCGGACTTGAAGTAAGCAAGCCGCCAAGGAGATTTTAAGCACAATGGGGTACAATAAATATACTAGGTTCATTTTAGTGCTAAAGTGGTAAATGTATTAGTTAACTAAAGAAAGCCATGCATTCATTCGGATACATTGATCTGTAGTAAAATTCTATGCCACGATACAACATTATTTACCTGACACATTTTATCTGAAATTACAAAGGATGGAAAATCACTATTTATAATTCCAATAAAGTTTTTTTCTTTGTTGAATACCCACCCAACTCTCTTCCCACACAAGCATTTACTCACTGATGTATATATTATATTAGTGATCTTCTCTTGAACTTTAGTCCCACGTGTAAATGTCTTGCTTCCTTACTGCCATCAACCTGTTCTCACTTAAGCACAAATAAATGGTTCTGTGAAGATGATATATTATTAGCTTGAGAAACAATGATAAACAAAGTTGAAACAGAAATCTTGACATTTTTCATTTATTGATCCAATGAAAATCTAGGTAATTTGGGTGGTGGTGGTTATTTTTTTCCTTTTCCTTCAGAAATACTTCTTGCATGCTGGAAATAACTCAGTACATTCAAATAGCTATTACATTTCTCCTTATGTAATTGTATCATTAGATTGTGCTATATATCAATGTCCCAAAATAGTCTACTGCACTATGAAGACTAAATTCTAAAATATATGGGTTTTATAAAAAAGGGTTCTTTCTTTCTTTCTTTCTTTCTTTCTTTCTTTCTTTCTTTCTTTCTTTCTTTCTTTCTTTCTTTCTTTCTTTCACAAAAAACTTATGTTTGGAAAAATATCATGTTCCTAAGGGGGGAAAAAAAAACTATGTCACATACCAACTATGTAGTACAGTGTTGCCCTGGTTGAATTAAGAAGCAAAGACTTGTATAGATGTGTGTGTGTGTGTGTGTGTGTGTGTGTGTGTGTGTGTGTGTGTGAATAATATATTACTAGCTATATTTTATAAACTATTTCAATACCAGTACTCAAAAAATTGTTTCTCTTTCCTTTATTGGTATACTTTTATGTATGTTATATAATCTTTAGTAAATAGGCAGTGTTATTTATGTTCTCCACAAAACCTACCTTTGAAAAGTGGAACACTTGGTTGATTTTTTACAACCTATGGTGTGCTTTCATTTAATGATGGGATGCATGCTGAGAGCATAGAGAGTTATATCCCAAATTAAATGCAAACAAAACAGCAGGATGTTGATACAACTGTGATTTCCATGGGAAGTAGTTAGGACGTTAATGTGCCCTTCTTGGAACTTGGGTAGAAATTCTCCGGTGACTCTGATTTCTGCCCCACAGATCTGAAAGACAACACATCTTGACTAGCTTTTTTGGCACCAGGTTGCTAGCACCATAAAGATTAGAAGAATCAGAGGCTTTGTTCTTCACTAAAATGAAGAGGTTTTTAAAAAAAAAAAGAGTGAAAAGAGACAAAAAAAGAAACAAAGGCCAATAAACTTCTCTGTCAATAGTTTGGACTATTTAATTTAGAGCAGTTGTCATTGGTTTAAATATGTATATTATGACTAATGTCAACCAATATTTCGCTAGTAATTTTGTGTCTGCTTATCAAACTGAAATAGTTCAATCTATCTTAATACATTCAGTTTAGTGTATGAAACTTTGTTTAAATTATTGCAGGCATAAAGCTAGAAAGTGCAGCAGGTGAACTAATATGCAGACATATGCTTTATGTTATGTTTTCAGTTTAGAACTTAACTGAGGAGTAACTATAAAAGGTAAGGTAACAGGCCAAGCTAAGTCTGTAACATTCACATTTGGTAAATCACAGCACCCCCCCTCCTCATACTCCTGTAGATACAATTCTGATGCAAAACAAGTGGATTCCAGAAATTTGATCTATTTAAGTTTTACAATAGCAGTGCTGCAGCTATTGGCTTAAATCAGTGGTTTTCAACCTGTGGGTCGGGACCCCATTTGGGGTCGAACGACCATTTCACGGGGGTTGCCAAACAACACAGTCTGCCATTTTTTCCCCCTTTCCCTTAGCTGTGCTACTCCCTTTTATTCTATTGGCTTTTGAAAGCCAATAGAATAGACTCTCTTGAATAGAGTCTAATTCTATTGGCTTTCAAAAGCCAATAGGAATTGTCCAGGCTGTCTCTGCCCCGCTGAGCCTGCCAAAAGTCCCATTCTGCAAACGGTGCTGCAAGTTGTCTGCAGCGAAGGCGAGCTGTCTGGAAGTTTCCACCCCTCCCTGCTGAGCAACTACTAAAAATGTAAGTAAAAGAGGGCTAGGGGTGGGAGGTGGGAGGCCGGAGGGCACAGGGAGGGTTGCTGGCGCGCATGGGGCCCAGTGGGTGCCTTACCTCCCTTGGGCTGGGCCAGCTGGTGGCCCAGCTGGTGGTTGGCCTGCGCCATTTCTGCCACTTGCCAGCTACGCCTCGGCTGGCGCAGGGGGTGGCACCATGCATGCACGGCGCTCCCGGGCAGGGGAAGTCCTCGACTTACGACCAGTTTAGTCCTCAACTTACGACCGGTTGGGGGGTCACGGCATTAAAAAGGTTGAGAATCACTGGCTTAAACTAACCCCAAAACAAAGACATATTTTAGCATAATCTATGCTTGTAAATTCAGACTTTGGCCAAAAAAAGTTATGAATGTTACACTTCATGAGAAAATGCATTAAATATTATTTTATGGGTTTTTTAATAGCTGGAAATATGACAGCACAGTTATGAATGAGCACTGCAAATGTGAAGCTGGTGTAGATTGGAAAGAATTTTTTTTAAAATCCACCTTTGGGGACATTTTCTCTAAGTAAGTGAGACTTCCTCTCTCCTTTGGGCAGAATTGCTCAGTAGAGCATCCAGGAAGTCACTGGCAGTTTTGAATAGGAATACTATGCCTGAGGTGCATACATCTGGAGAACCACATGATGGCATCAAAGGGTTAAAGTGTTCTCTATCTCCCAGCTGCCATGCCATCACCAGAGTTTTACAACCCAGATATGGAGTGGTTAATTTTGCATATAATTATGGTTTGTCACACTATCAGCCAAATATTCAGAGTAGATTTGGCATTTTTATCCACCTATTGAGTCCTTCCCAAGGACCTGGGATAGGCAGATGTGGATGTTTGATAGTATTAAAGGTATCACCACATGATATAAGCTGTGAGTCATATTATTATTAGAAGAGACTGAAACTTCTTCTCATCAACTTCTTGTGAGCTCCCGGAGATGTCAATGACATCTATTTCTAAACAGTTCTACACACACACTTTAAATATACAAGCAAATCCAAATGTTGGCTTCAAAAGTTTAATGAAGAGAAGGACAAGGGGAGACTATCAAGCAGCATTCCAATATCTCAGAGGTTGCCACAAAGAAGAAGGAGTCAAACTTTTCTCCAAAGTGCCTGGAGGCAGGACAAGAAGCAATGGATGGAAACTAATCAAGAGGAGAAGCAACCTAGAACTACGGAGAAACTTCCTGACAGTTAGAACAATTAATAAGTGGAACAACCTGCCTCCAGAGGTTGTGAATGCTCCAACACTGGAAGTTTTTAAGAAGAGACTGGACAGCCATTTGTCTGAAATGGTATAGGGTTTCCTGCCTGAGCAGGGGATTGGACTAGATGACCTCCAAGGTCCCTTCTAACTTTATTATTATTATAAATACCAGATGAATGTGATGACTCCAAGACATCTTTTATAGATTAGTGATTAAGGCATCAAACTAGGAGTGGAGAGACTCAGGTTCTAATTCAATGGAAATTAGAACCAAGGAAATTCAATGGGAAATTTTGGTCCAGTCACTCTCAGCTCACCCTACCGCATAGAATTGTTCTTGTAAGGCAACATCGGAGAAGGGAGTGTTATGTGTGCCAACTTGGCTCCTCAAATAAAGGCAGAGTATAAATCAGTTGTCCATATATATCTAAATACACACACATATAGCTCACACATACATACACACACACAAACCAAAACCAAAGAGAAAGAGAAAATAATGAAATAAATGAATATCTTTATTCTCTCTTTCTGTGTATTTATCTTTGGAAGTGTCTGTGAGTACAAATATAAACAGTAGATGTAGAATAACTTTTATTTCCATAGATACTTCTCTTTCTCTCTCTTTCTCTCTCCCTCTCTTCCTCCCTCCCATCCTCCTTCTTTCTCTCTCTCTCACACACAGAGCCATTAAATATTATACATTTTCCTAAGACTGATCTCAGCCAAACCTTTTAAAAAAAAAAATTAACATCATTGGAAAATGCTTTCTCAAAGTTTTATTAACTGAGAAAATAATAATGATCAAAATGATGAAATAGGATCATATTGATATTGAACTAAAGCCAGCAAAAGAATGTGTGGGCCCCCATCTCTGATTTGATAGTCAGAAGTATAAATGACTATAAAGGCAGCAGGGACAGAGAGGGAGAGGAGCACTAAAAGGAAAAAAAGAAATCTAAGCTTCTGTTTTCAGGAATTTCTCTCTCCTCTCCTCTCCTCTCCAATTTTTTAGTTTTTACTTTTTTGGGAGACTGACTGAATTACCCCCTTGTCTATTGAAACTCTCTTAGTTTAATTCCCAGAGGCTTCAGTGACACCTAGGGCAGCCTGATCAACTGCACCATTCTACATTGCTAATCTCAGCTGACAAACTGATTATGAATTTAGCAGATGTTCCAGAATAGAATGGATCCATTTTCCCCTTATTTAAATAGCAAGTAGGTTTAAAAACAATACAATTTTACCATTA